AGAAAATAAATAGTTAGTACTGTATAATATTAAAAGAAAAAAAAAAAAAAAAAGTTATTTGTTTAGATTCAAATTGTAAAAAAAAAAACCAGTTATTTGTTTAGATTCAAATTGTAGTCTCATGATTACACAGATAGCTAATAATAGCATAGCATATCACAAGTTATTAATTAGTAATATAAGCATGTATATATAAGAAATGTAGCAATTAATATATGCAAACATAAATTAATAAAGTAATTAAATATAATATAGTACAGCATTGGAAGGCCACTAGAAGATAATTAATAGTGCCACTGGAACTTAGCACTATTGATTTAACTTCCAGTGATCTTTTAGTGGTCTTCTGTAATACTAATAAAGTTAACAAACCCTACCTTTGTATTAAAACATTGGTAACTGATTTTTGACTCGCCTTTTTACTCATATCTGTGATTATTGAGAGTCACATGATCATTCCTGAAAACTAAATGAGAACAGATTTTTTAACTTTCTTACCATTATTAGGTCCCGATCTTGGGCAGTGCCCAAATAAATAGTGGCTAGTTATAAATTTAAAATTTATTAAGTGATAATCTAATACCTCTTAGTCAATCAAAATAAATTATTTAAAAACTAAGTGCAGTAGCTATGTAACATCATCATGAAAACCGAAATTTAAACAAAGACATGCCCATGGTTTTGCAATAGAGACTATTTGTATGTTAGTGATATCAAGTAAAACTTTCTTTAATGTATTTGCTAAGCTCTATCTAATTTTATAGTCAAATCCTTTATTTCAAATCTCAAATCCCAATTCATACTACAATTAAGTTGGGATTTGAACAATTGGTTTTTGCGCAAATTTTTTACTCACAATAGATATAAAATATTTAAATTCATAAATAGCCATCTAAATAGATTTTAAATTTATTTCATACATATTTAATTGCTAGTATAAAAATTAAATTATAATGACCCAAATAACTCAAATGCCGCAGTTATTTTAAAATCTCAGTTATTTGGTAATAAGTCATTTGCAAACAGAGACTGCATGTTACGATATTGGATATTTGGGCATTTGGACAATGTCCAATTGTCCAAGTAATTTGATTGGATATAGTAACTTTTTTTATCTAACATTTAAAAAAAATTAATTTAATCTTGGCCTAAATTAAACTTAATTTGGGCTAATATTCGCTAATACAAAATATCTGATTTACAGTATATTTAAAAAGTATATTGATAATAATATTATTGTTATAAAATATGCATGCAACATAAGTATTCACACTATTGAATCAACAAGTTTTAAAAATATATATTTGGTATTGCTCTAGTGAAATATGATATGTTAGAAAATATAAAATGATTTGTATTTCAAAAAGAATAATGACAACAGTTGATTTTATTTTAATTTTAAAATAAAGGCATATTATAAAAAAAAACACACCAAATAAAATAAATTAGCCAAGGTCGACACTTTGAATTAGAAATGTTCATTAAAAATTATTATAGTAAATTAAAGAGTAAAAAAGGTTATAAAAAATAAAAATAAAATTGATAAATGTCATTATTTCATATAACAATCCCGTGCCAGTAAGTAAATGAAAAAAAAGCATGGGTTGTTACATAAGACCTGTGCAATAATATAATAAATTAATAGAGATTACTGCAGTCAAATGATTTATCATATCTAAATATATATATATATTATATATATATATAATTATAATAAAAACATATAAAATTACTAGAAACTTTAAGAATTAGATTATTTTAAACTTACATGTCATTTTTTCAAATTTTGCAGATCAAAAAGATAAGCAAGATTTTCATTTAGTAAAAGGTTAAAGATAATAAATTTTAATAAACTATTTTATTACAAACAAGTTTACTTAATAGGCTAAAGCAAGTTATCTTAATAAAAAATATAAGTTAGCTATATACAAATATTAAAATTTTTAGTTTATCTATGTAAAGCTTTTTTTTATTTAGATAATCAAGTTTTATTCTTTAAGTAAACATATTCAGAGCAAAATTTTATATATAATTTTTAGTTAAAAATTGAAAAAATATTTACTTATATTAGAATAATATATTTTATATATATAAAAATTTACTATTATAATTAGTATAACAAATTATGTGATAGATATAGTATTGTACAACTGTTAAATGCTGCATTATATAAATAGTTAACTATTATTAGCACTTTTTATAATATGAATCAATGAATATTCACAAATTCGAATTGATTCGAATTTGTATGAATTGATTCGAATCAATTCAAATTCGGCCTATATGAATTCGAATTTGAAAATTAAGTTCGATTCCAACCTCTACCTGGAACTTGAAATTTGGCCATGATCAGTGTATTGCATAAAATTACGCAAAACGCCGATCATGACCAAATTTCAAGTTCCAGGTTTTTCACTCTCACACACTCAAATTTTGTTTTTTATTAATGGTGCTGTGCATAATGCGATGCAAGTTGCTTAAAATTTAAAAATACACATAGAAGTTGTTATGTAATTTTGATCTATGTCATTTCATTAACAATCACTTTATAGACACCTGTTCCTATCAAAGTGAAATCCAATAAAAAATTAACTGCTTCTACTATATAAATCTAATAGTTTATATTTTCAAATCCAACAACCTAGTAATAATACAAGGTCTGCTCACTGTATGTAGGTTTTGAGAAGTCCACAATATATTTTACAGAATTGCATAATGCATCATGCAACTTAATATTGCATTATGTGATGTGAAGCCAAAAAAAAACTTGCACTCGCAGTCGTGACCCATTATTTTTCGTGATGAAAAATTTGAGATTTTAAGGGTAGGATGTACGTACGTACGTACGTAGATTTTTCATATAATATATGGTGTAGGAAATTTAAAAACCTCAATCACTATAACTATAAAAAGATAATAAAGATAACGTATAAACTGATACTTAGCATATGTATTGAAAAATAAAATTATCAATCTCAATGAAGTTAAGAATCTGGAATTCTCTGCCTCTTTACAAAGGAATACGTAAATGATTTGTACTTAATAGCAATTATTATATGCAATCGGCTGAAACTTAAATATACCACTACTGAATTTAGCTTATCTCCTGATTTTTAGTTTTTGGATTTCCTGCACCCGTACGTCCGTATATGGTACGATTTCATGACACAAAAATTCGAGATTACGTAATCGGCGATCGTTTCTGTAGCCCAATAAATTATATATTACATGAAAATTATATTAATAACAATAAGTAGCTGCGCGATGCAGTCGCGCTAAACCTGGAACGGACGAATAGAAGCCTAATTTAAAAATGTTGGATAACTCTGATACAGTATCGAATTCAGATATTTGAATAGATATCAAGTACACGATTAATAGAGCATAACTATTGATCAATGCAAATAAAAAATGACTTTGCCAAATGATCATTATAATACAGGCCAATCTAATTAATATGAATAGAAGCCAAATAAGAAAAGAAACGAATTAGCGAAGTCTCAGATTACTATGAGATGCATAGCTAGCATTAATCAGCCTAATATTCCTTCCTGAATAGATATAAATCCGGATATCCGGTTTGATTTATAAATAATCTAGCATTACATTTCAGAATTCTTCAAGCCATAATATTATGTGACAAAGAGTTCTGTCGACCATTACAGCTTAGATTCAAGATTTTTGCGCATCTGTAACGATAAAATGACTAAATCAAATACACATGGTAAGTGAATTCTGAAAAATAATCCGGCATCATCAGAATTAAATTACCTTTATATTACAGATAATATTTAAGTTCAAAGTTAAAATCACTATTAGATTTTATTATGTTATTTAACGTGCTTAAACCAAATCGCACTAAATAACATAATTTTACATCATTTATGTTAAATGTATTCATTATCAGCTTGATTCGGCTGTATATTTGACTATTATAAAAGCCGATTAATGGTATGCTAAAATGCAGAATAAATTATTTTTTTATAGTATGTTAAAATGCGAGTAAACTAAATGGCATTTTTAATAGTATATTAAAGTATAAAAAATGACATTAAATTCTAAAATAATTACATTCGTTTTTAAGAAAAAAAATTTTATTATTTTTTGTATGGATCCAAAAAGAATTAGGTTGCGCAGTAATGCGGTTGAACTTAAAGATGAGCTTATGCTTAGATTTTGTCAATTTTTTTATTACAATATAAAGCAAGTGTATTTAATTAACAATGAATAAATCAGTTTTTTTTTGGTTGAGTGCAGTATTAAATTAATTGACGATAATAAGCAGTATTTAAAAAAATTGAAATTTTTTTAGTTGTGCGCAGTATTTAATAAAAAAATCGCAAGTTTTTTTTAGTTGTACATAATATTTAAAAAATGCAAGTTTTTATTTATGAGAAAAAAAATTTTCATACTCAGTTAGTGTCGTGGGGTTAATGACCACTCAAATCTGCCCGACGGTTTGTATAATTAGTTTAGGAACTCGCTTTTATCTTGTTACACTTTTGTCAACACGCAATTCCACCCAACAACACCTTACAAACGTCCCTCGTCGCCGACACTATTCAAATGGCACGGCACTATATGTTTGTAACTAGTTATTCTAGAGTAAAATTCAATGTCTGTTCGATCTTAAAGATCGAACCTTTATTTATATATTCGTTATGCGCTATTGCATCATCAATACAATAAGCTCTATCATATTAGACTTTATATACATTATCTAACATATTACGTCGATCATCACTAACTTACTATACCCTTGAATTATCTAACCCTGGTACCCCGTACCACGTGCAACCAATCGTTACCCGTCAGTTAGCATCATTTAAATCGCATTAAATTGCACATTCAGTTTTTAATCATCATTAAATCGAATATTACAAATTCTTATCGCATAAATTCCGTGTCACTGTTATAACAGTGTTGGCATATGACCGGAAATGACCTAAATGACTAAGTGACAAAGTCACTTATGTGACCTTGATATTACCTGATGTGACCTAATGTGACGTAGACAAACTTTCTTCTGATTGGTCGGTGGTTGTCTCTGTTACGTCACTTAATCATTCATAGTGACCGATGACTATAGGTTATGTGCATAATGACCAAGATCATTTAAGAAACAACAAAATGACCTAGTCATTTACCAACGCTGTGTTATAGAGATCAAAAAGTTTTGCATCGGACAAATCGTAAGGTAGATCAAATCATGTGATCTAATTTTGATGATATTTTAGTGTTAGTTACTGTTGGTTTAGATGAATTAAAAAAAAATGTTTTAATACAACTCATTGTTAAGGAGCTATATGAATTTAAAAAAAATTTTATGTGACGTAAAACAAATGGTGCCAGTAGGAGGTTTCAAAGTTAACAAATAAGTGACGCATTTCGAAAATAAATAGGATTTTTTCAATAGCATTTTTACTATGCTGAATTATAAATCGGAAAAATAAAATGTGATTCTCTGATTTTAACTTTGAAACCCCTAGTGTATCTGTATTAAACTATTATCTACTTTTATTAAAATTCCTTTTACTAAACTTAATTACAAAAAAAAAAAAAAAGTTTAATCTTATTATTTTATCTTACTATGCATAATATTAAAAGACTTCATATTTACATATATCTTTATAACTAATACTAAACTATTAAATATGCTTAGTTGCTTATTATTTTAATATATTTTACACAATATTTTAGTAAAATATCAGGTCTTATTAATTAATCTTTTTTATGCCCTGGTCACTATAGCAAGTTCGCGGGGTATAAATCAGTTATACCCTGGGTACTATGTGTATAACCGGAAATGAAATTTCCGCTTATACTCAACTACCCAGGATATAACTATTACATATTTTTTTAATCTATGTGTATAGTAATTTTTAGTTGGGCCGTGCTCTTCTATATACTAAGATACTTCTGTGCACACACCCTATTTCATTCCTATACCTATAGATTGGTGTGACGTAGTACTGCCACTTCCTTATGTAGATATTCGTGATAAATATTTCGGGATTATTATATTTCGGAATATAATATTTCGGGATTAAATAACATTTCGGGATATAAAATTTCGCGATTATGATGCTCCTAGAATCTTCGTGATTGTATTTTCGGGATATTACAGTATATCCTTAGCGTGTCGGAATTAAGTATTGAAAAGATTTTGCCAATTTCAACGAGATTTTGCCATTAATTACGCTGCCAATTATTGCCGAAAAATCACAGTTTTGCAGGAGTTTCCCGTCTTTCGTTGTTTAGCCGTTTTGTCAGGAGTTTCGTCATTACGTAAATGACATAACGACTATATACCAGATATATTATCTAGTTCATTCATAATTTTTTTTGTTTCCGGGCGATTTATTGGATTTTGATCCCAACAAAGCTTATAAAGATTTATTGGTATACTTGGTATATTTTCTATAGGTGTTTCTCTTTCTCCTTGACATACACGGAGAATTATTTCTTTTGCTGACTTGTTTTTAAATGGTTGCTGTCCACTTGAAATTTCCCAGAAAATTACACCTAGACTATAGATGTCAGATTTCTCTGTAAGCTTGTTTTTTTCCATAAGATACTGAGGATCAATAAATGCCGGCATTCCCCAAATTTCTTCAATTAAATCCGAATCGTTGGTGTGGGTAGAATTTCCGAAATCTGAAATCAACATTGTTTCTTTATCATCAACTAGGATATTTTCTGTATGCTATATTTGTAGGTCATTTGAATAAATATATTAAAAAGAAAATTACTACAAATCACTAGTGGTGTTCAACATTATATAAATCTTCTACTAAGATTAGGGTGCAGTTTGAGATCAGGAGAGGGATTAGATATAATAGTCCAAATTAGAGGTTGGAACCGGTTTAATAATTCTTGTTTATCACGTGAATTTTGTGATATTTTAGAAATTTATCAAATTAAATTTTAACAAATTCTAAAAAATCACAAAATTCATGTGATAAACCCGAATTATTCCAATCCTTAGTCCAAATTTTAGATTATATGAGGTTTGGGGGGATTTACTTACAGTTAGGGATGTTAAATTGACCAGATCTGACCATAATTAAAATTATTTCTATTAATAATGATGGTGGTGATGCAATTGCAGATCACGGTTTATAAACCGGACCAAGATCAGATCATTGGAACATTTTAACATCCCTATACTTACAGTGATACCCAATCTGTCGTTTTTGAGATATAACAAAACTGGTAATAAATAGCAAACTTCCAAATCATATATAAATTTACTTACAAGGTCTCGATGAATAATATTTTTTTTGTGCAGGAACATAAGAGCTAGTGTTATTTCCTTGGCAAAGCGTAATTTATCAGCAAGATCAATCCTTGAAAAGTTCTTTTCCAAATATTTTCGTAAATTTCCATTTTTAGCGTATTGCATAATCATATTGTAAGCATCATCGAGTGGATCTATTAATTAAACTTTTTGTTAAACAACGCAGAACTGAAATAATACGGAGAATGTCGATGATAATCGACAATCGCGTTTTAAATCAAGATAGCTATTAACAGGGATGATAAAAAGACAAATTGTAATATTAGAATTGCCTGCGATATCAAAGGCCTAATATTTCAATCTGTTTTATTGTCGATTGACCAGTCGACATATGATAGGAAAGTTAAATGATCATGCTATGATTTGCAATGTCATAAAGTCGTAACTCAGTAATTGTCTGTCAACTATATTAATATCCAATTTACTGACATTTCTTCGAATGGTTCGTGAATTGTCATCTTGACTAATCGATAATATGAATTGTCGTAGCATACTTTATCAGGCAAATAGTTATCTGGATTTCGTCATTAATATGACGCGGATTTCATGAAAATGGTCACTTACTTTTAGTTACGCCATAAAAAGTAATAATGTTAGGATGAAAACTATAGCTCTTTAGAATTTTGAGCTTATAATATTATACAAAATAAAAAAAATATCATTATTTAATTGCTACATATTAACAGTTGCATTTAAATTCATTAAGAATACCTCTTGGATAAATTTAAGATTACTATTTGTTTTTAGACTTTTCAGGGCAACTGTGAGTTTACAATCTTCCCACCGAGACTTATATATTTCTCCAAATCCTCCTCCATCTATCCTCACATAATCGGTAAATTCGTTAAAATCAAAAAAACAAACATGTCCTTTTGAAATTGCTTCTTCAAGCCAAGCAATTGGAGTAATTGGTAATTCGTTCATAGCCTCATTAAAAGAGTTTTTAACAAAATGACATTTATTAGCTATACAGTAAAGCCTTTTTAAACAAGTAGGTATTGTCCAGTCATGCTTTTGATGTATCTACGTTGAACTATATTTGTATTTAAACTTTCCGACCTTCTTTTAAAACGATCATAGAGTTACCAAATTTGTGTTTATTTAATGCATAACTTCTTTGTTTCTTTTATGCATACTCACATACGTATTGTAAGTACATTGAATAAATAAATGAAAAGCAACGATATTACTCTTGTAGTAATATAGTATAAAAAAAGTTGTGTAATAATATCACTCCAATTTTTAGAGCCATTTATTTAAATGGACCAATTGCATTTTTCTTTCTTCCCTTAAGAACATTAATGGCAAATTCGATGTTTGAACAGCTTGAAGAAGCCATTTCAAGTCAGCATATCAACTATGTCGAGGACAGCGAACTTACAGGTATTACGAAGATTGATGAAGGTGGATATGGAGAAGTGTATAAGTGTAACTGGGAGGATTTGAGAATCACTGTCTTTCTTAAAAGTTTAAATGGAAATAATCAATCTCAGATTGTTAAAGAGGTATTTAAATATTTTTACGTGCCTTGATTTACTTTTAATTATAGGGAATTGCTATTCGTACCCCAAATTTGCTAGCTATACCCTATACAAATTAAAGTTTTTTTGAACTTTGAGCGAAGATAACTCGACAACCACCAAGTTAAATTCGACAGCCTTTTTTTATTCGAATTCTATGCATTCATAGAATTTAAATAAAAAAAAGTTCATTGAATTTTGCCGGTGATTGGTGAGATATCTTCGCTCAAAGTCTTAAAACGTCAATCAAAACTCAATTTTTTTATTTTTCGAGCGAAGTTTTCTCAACACTCACTAAGCCAAATTCGATGAATTTTTTTATCTGAATTCTAAGAATCTGTAAAATTCAAATAAAAAAAAGTTTGTTGAATTTGGCTTGATGATTGTTAAGATATCTTTGATCGAATTTTTAAAAAACTTAACGCCTATAAAAGTAGAAGCTATGCTAAAATTTTTTCCAATGTTTAAACGAAGGTATCATAACAACCACTGGTCATATTCGGTAAAGTTTTTTGTTTATTTGGATCTTTCAGATCCGTAGAACTCAAATAAAAAAAGGTTCATAAAATTTGGCTTGATGGTTACTGAGATATCTTTGCTCAAGGATAAAAAAAAAATTCTATTCGTAGGCATTGAGTTTTTAAAAATTTGAATGAATATATCTTGGCAATCATCAAGCCAAATTCAAAAACGTTTTTTTATTTGAATTCCACAGATTCTTGGAATTCAGATAAAAAAAAGCTCATCGAATTTGGCTTGGTGAGTGTTGAGATATCTTCGCTCAAAAAATAAAAAAAAAATTGAGTTTTGATTGACGTTTAAGACTTTGAGCGAATATATCTCACCAACCACCAGGCAAAACTCAATGAATTTTTTTTTATTTGAATTCTATGAATGCATAGAATTTGAATAAAAAAGTTTGTCGAATTTAATTTGGTGGTTGTTGAGTTATCTTTGTTCAAAGTTCAAAAAAAAACTTTAATTTGTATGGGGTAGCTAGCAAATTTGGGGTACGAATAGCAATTTCCTAATTATAAATATCAAAATATTTTTATTTATTATTTTTAACATGTATAGCTAAAAACTTTACAAAAAGTTAGCTTTCATCCAAACATTATTCAGTTCTATGGTGTAACTAAATGTAAGTGGCCAATGATTTAAGAATTTCTTGCGAGAAATCATTTACATAAAATGCAAATTTACAATAATTGTCCAAATGCTAATATAATTAATTAGCGTCCGGCGAAAATTATAATATGATTTTCCAATATGCAAATGAAGGAAATTTGCAAGAATATTTAAAATTAAATTTTTTAAAGCTCCAATGGACTGATAAATTACGCATTATTGAAGAAATAGTATTGGGCTTAAATTTTTTGCATAAATGTAATATTCTTCATCGAGATCTGGTAAGTGGACATAGAATTGTACATTTTTTTTGGGCTATGAAATTCAGTCCCTGTAAGGATCTAATTTTTTTAGCTCATTAGAAAATACCGTAAAATACGGACACATGTACCTCGGGTATTTTCATTACACAATTTTGTACCCGGTACCTATATATGGGGATACACTGGGGTGCGCGATATACTATGTAAATCAAAACTACACATGGTATCATATAAAAACTTAATATCTAAAATTTTATATAGCATATAATTTTACTTATAATTTTTCGCGAAATTTAAATAGAATATTTTAGGATAAAATTTTGTAGAGGCCAATACTATAGCTCTACAAGCAAAGTTACGAAGCTATTTTTCTTACTTAAATATAAAAATAAAGAAATAGCTTAGTCAACTTTTTAAAATTCTTAAAGTTTAAAGGGAATGGCTTCGTAACTTTGGTTGTAGAGTTATCATATTGGTCTCTGCGAAATTTAATCCCAAAATAATAAACCGTTAGAGCTGTGCATCTATTTAAATTTCGCGAAAAACTATGTAAAATTATTTGCTATATAAAATTTTAGATATTAAGTTTTTGCATAATACCACATATAGTTTTGATTTATATAGTATATCGCGCACCCCAGGGATACACGGTATTGAGACAATATGTTTTACTATATCTACCTAGGATGATACATATAATACATATGTACCCGTTATAAATCACCAACTGGCTCTTAACTGGTAGAGGGTACACGCCATGGGGTACACATGTCCGTATTTTTACGGTAGATTCCAGCTATGTTATATGTTTAATCAGTTATTTATATAAATAATTTATCATTATTTATTCATAATATTTATAGAATATGAAAAACATCCTCGTTCATGAAGGAAAGATGATGATTGCCTATTCGATTCCAAATAATATCGATAGTATACATCAATCGGGTCGAAAATACAATATCGACAAAATGTATGATATATTGCCTTACACAGCGCCAGAAGTTTTACGTACTAAAAAATACACATGCGAGGCAGACGTATACTCATTTGGTATTGTCATATATGAAATAATAACCGGCCTGTCACCATACTACAATATTCCGCACGACGTTGATTTAGAATCTAAAATTATTAACGGCTTAAGACCAAAACTTCCAAGCTACGTACCGAAATCAATAATGCAAATAATTAGTCAATGTTGGGATGCAGTACCTGATAGACGGCCAAATTTCAAGGAATTAAAGGACAAATCAAATAATTTGTATTCAGTTATTAGATGCACCCCAAAAGAAGATATCCAAATTGAAGAAGATTTAAAAATGATGATCGAAAATAAATACCAGTTGTCACAGGTTTCTTGCAATAAACTTCAAATTATTAAAAAGATAAGAAAAGGTGGATTTATTATTGTATACTACGCTAATTGGATTAATAGAAATCAAATTTTATACAGTGTTGCTGCACTTAAATCAATTCATAATTCAAATAATTATCTTGAAAATTTTATGAAAGAGGTAATTTTTATTGAACATATTATTCATCATATACATTATATTAACAATTCGAATATATTGTATATTTCCTTCTAATAACATACAGAACGCATATTGTGGCATTGGTCCTGAATTTCTAATTTCTAAAGGTTACGATTTTGTTATGGGTTATGCACAGAAGGATTTTTTACGTAATATACCACAAAATGAATTTTCAACAACAGCCAATTTTTAGATCAAAGCTTTTAGTATATCGTAACAATTTTCCGATCTCACTTTCCGACAACCATTCACCAATCATACACATGTACTCGCTAGGATCCTCTTCATCTTCTTCCACCTTTCATTTTTCATTTCCTTCTCATCTCTAACTTTTATCGAACCAGCAAAGTTTTCTTATCGATTAGTTGGATAAAATATCGCTATGTGTCAAAGACAATTGCATAGAATCCATGGTAGTATCTTTCTGCCAGGAACAGTGCAATTGTAAACGTGCTAGGTCCATGCCACATGCATTTCCACCTACACCATTACGTCCTTCCTGTGTCACACCATTTATCAAATACAGACAAACCGGAACTAAGCATTAGAAGTTTAGAGTAATCCACAAACACAGACAAAATGGAACTAAGCGCCTCGATATTCCACATTAAAATGTGAATAAATTTATTCTATGCAATATTATTTTTCATCAATGCCATATCTTTATAGTTATTAAGTAAACAATAATTTATGAAAAGGAATAAGCACAACTAAAAAAGACATTTGAATATGTAATTATGCTAGTATGTGTGTATTTTTGCGGTTATGTAATTTATAATTTTTAAGATTAAAATTTTTTGATAATTAAAGAGTTACAATTATATATTCAAATCAAATAAAGCATATAATGCGATAAAAATTACTTCAATAAAGATTGTAGCTTTCGTAACACAACTATACCGGCACGCTCTCTGAAATTCAAGTCAGAAATTACACTTCTTAGTAAAATCGCCTGTACGATTATTTTGCGTGGAATAGTTGGATGGTATTATTTAACGTAGTGATTGGACCCGGGTAGGTACCACCGGCTCACCCGCGGGTGGACGGGTAACCCAGGTGGAAACGGGTTGGTCACCCGACGGGTGACCCATGAACAATAATTGCAATTGCGAGATGATCTTTTGCGCAAGACTTTACTAAACTTCAATCCAAATATGCATTTGTATGTAGATTTTTTTTTAAAAAAAAAAAACTTTTCAAAAACGGATTTTATATTTGACTAAGGATGTTCTCAAGCACCCACTCAGTGGATCGGAGGTAAATTTTTAAACGTTACCATACAAACCATCTTTTTATTCAAAAATTTATCAGGTTCAAGAATTACTTTTACATTTTTTACGTATCAAGCATAGTAAACAATGAATTCTTAGTAAATTTCTACCCGATCAAAAAAAATTACTATTTTATTTTTGATGCTAGACTTTTAAAACAAACTATATACCAAGGATATAACTATTACTTAGAAATATATTTGGATATACAGATATGCATAATAACGGGCAATCTATTTTCACCCGGGTAACTCATGAATCCACCCGACGGGTTGCTTTTTTAACCCACCCGGTTTCTACCCGGGTGGCAATTTTTTTGACGGGTCCAATCACTAATTTAATGTTAGTTTAACTTGCTATAATTATAGTCTTAATTTTGATGATTGTCTGCAAAAAGTTGCAGGTTAGGATTTTTAAATTTCTTTTGCATTACGAAAATATAAAAATATCGATATGGATTTCGGCACCCATGTATGGAAATGACGCAATGACTAGTCATTTGTCATTTAGGTCATTTGGGTCATTCCAGGTCACTGTGAGAAATGGAGTGGCAAAAAACTTGGAATTATCTATCATGCTATACTATTTTAAAATTATCCAAAATTGTTTTTGGTTAGACAATTATTTTTGTCTTCGTGTAACTTATATTCTTAGTTCGGTCCCGACTCAACTTAAAGTTGAGCCTGGTCTTAAGACCAGACTTGAAAAGCATTAAAATTTTTAAATTCATCAATTATGTATGAATACGAATTTTCGTGCTATAACTAAATATACTAGGAAAATGTGCGTTGTTAGATCCAAAGCATAACATATCTGATATGATGGATCATCTCATTACATAAACGCATATCTTCATGCAGACTTAGTCGATCTAAGTACTTTCGGGAAATTTAGGAAGAGACATATCAAAAACGTCACTAATTTTGGTCGAAAGCATCAAATACGTAATTTTGGTATCACCTTGCATAGACACTAAATGACCCTCCGCTTCGCTCCGAATCAATTAGATGTGAGTCAAAATGTTGATCAATCCAATTATGATAATAAATATTACTAATTCAAAGTACAAACAAGCTGTTGATCTGATTATCATAGGAAGCAAATGTGAATATAAGGGACCTAAGATTATCATCTAAATTGGGTTTTATACGAAGGAATACTTTAATGAATCAGATAGATGGTACGGTTCATTGCCATGAATTACGAATTCATGTAATCTCTGTTACACAATTTTTAGCCAATACATACTCTTTGAACATCTTCATGCATCGATAATAGCTTTTTTTCTCAAAGGCTATGTTTCCGATTCAACATTAGAGATATTCATACTAATAAAAATAAAAAAAGAGGCTGCCCAAAAAATATACTTTGAATAACCATTTTAAGGAAATTAATCCACATGATGATGTGCATAAATGTTGTGAATGTATATATTGTAAAGAAAAATTCAATGCAACTGATATAAATATGAATTTTACGAAAATTTCTTACACTAAGCCAAAAAAAAAAAATTTAAATCAGAAATAGATATTTTTACTGGTGCTCAATTACAAATTGATAGTAAATTTCAAGTTATCAGTTATAAGAAATGTGTCACAGTTTGAGATGTACGAATGCAGGCTTTTTTGCCTCTGCATTACATTATGCCACATGACTCATTATGCAACACTGTAATTACTATACCTTATGATTACTATCTGATTTATTAAAAATAGCTCTAATTGTGTATAATATGTATATCTAAAGATGTTAAGTAGTTAGGATTAATCATATTGACTCAGTTTGAAACTTTAACCATTATTGTCAAAATTAAAATCGGTTCATGTTTGTTAACTATGATAATTATCCTTCATAACTTTCCATTTAGCTGGTTAATTTACAAAAAATAATTAATATTTACAATTGCTATATGTTAGCATAATAAATAAAATTGGATGTCAAAATCTTGAAAACTACTTTATTATACAAGCTTTTTGTGTATATATGAGTACTTATTATATCAAATTAAAAAATAATAAAAAATTTTATTAAATTAAATTTATATAATAATTTTAATATACATTTTTAACTTTTAAACTATTTATATTATGTGACATTATAGTTTTGCATAATATAATATGCATAATGTACATGGTACATTAGGGAGTTCAATAAACTAATTAATCAAAACATAGTTAGGGTCATTAAGTTCAGATTTTTTAAAGGGTTATTTCACATATAAATTTATATATGAATTTGTACTAATTTAGGTACATATTTCTACACAACTAACAGACAAATTGTACTATATTTTTTTTAAACTGTAGTTCTAGACTAGCTCTACACTGTAACAGAACCGATTTTTAATAAACTATGCTAATTATTAATAAAAATTAATCCAAAATTTTATTAGTTATTAAAAAACTGGTTCTGTTACAGTGTAGAGCTAGTCTAGAATTACAGTTAAAAAAAACATATACAATTTTGTTTGTTGGTTGTGTAGAAAAATGTACCTAAATTAGTACAAATTTATGTGAAATAACCCTTTAAAAAAATCTGAAATTAATGACCATCATCATATATGACCCTAACTAAGTTTTGATCAATTAGTTTATTAAACACCCTAATGGTACATCTCTAATCATAGTGCCATTTTTTGTTTTTTTATAAAATTTTTTTTTGGATTGTTAAATGTTTATATTTTTAGATTTTCATAAAAATTTATGTTCTTCATACAACTCTTCGGTTGATCTTTAGTAAAGGTGGCCACTATAGAAATATTATAAGATTATAATATATAAATATAGTATTCGAACTATTTAAGCAAATTTGAGATTAGTTAGAGTTAGGGTAAGAGTTATAGTATAGTTTATAGTTAGCTCTAGAGTTAGAGTTAGAGTTTTTTTATATTATAATCTTATAATATTTTTATATTGGCCACCTATACTAAAGGAGATCCATTTAATGTTTTTCTTCTATGTATTTTTTTTGATATTTATATTATTTTAATAGTTATAGCAAAGCTTACATATTCTATTAAATTAATCTACTTTTGCTAATTTTTGATAACTAATAGATGTCTGATATTTATTGTATTTATTTTATCTTTTTTAGGCATCTCTAAATATTTTTATTACCTGGTTCATTTTTTTTTAAGATCTTTACTTTTATTTTAACTGTTTTTTTTACAGTAATTTGAGCCAAACCAATCTTTAGAGATCTCATCATTACAAAGATACCAAGTTTCTTTATTATTATTATCAGATTATTATCCAATTTAAAACTCTTGGACTATTTAGATATATTTTATTTTTACAGTTCTTTTTCTTTTCACTTTCTTTTTTATAACAATATCATTTATTAAATATTTCAATTGAGTTAACAAGCTTTTGCTAAAATGCAAATACCTCATGCTGTTCCTTTTTGACTTCATTTAATTTATAAATATTTTTTTTCTGATCCAATTTATCTAACTTTATCTTACTACTTTAGCTTCAATCCTATTAGCAATTCTTTTTAGCAGCTTTTTGATTATTTATTAAAGCCTTCTTCTTGATTTTATTATTATGTTCAAGTTTATTAGTCTCATTAATTTAATCTATTTTAATAATTGTAGATATGTCTTATAATTGTCTTCTTTAGTTTAATTCTTTTTTACACCACGTCTAACTATATATATTTTATTTATCTAAACTCATTTTTGCTAGTCTTTGATAGTTAATAAAAGTTTTAGAATTTTTCTTTCTAGTAGATATTTGATAGTAAAAAGATACTTTATATTTATTTTTAATTCTAATTTTAGTATTTATACTTAGAAGTATTATTAATATAATACTTAGACACTTTATTTCTATTTTTTTTTGATATTTATAATTATATTCTCTTCAAACATTTTTTATATCTACTATTTGTTGATGATTAAAAAATTTTCTTATTTTATTAGACCAAGTTCTAATATTACTTTTGTGTTTATATACTTTAATAAATTTTGTAGACTATTCAAAAGCTTTTTTATTATTTATATCAGCACTTAATTTGTATATATTAGTAAATTTATAATGATGAATAAATTTTGGCTATTCTTTTTTTTCATATTTTAATTACTCTTTTATTTGTTAAATATAGTTTCTTTCTTTATATTGATAGAGTTTTGATATTAACTTACTGCCTTATATTTATTTTTTTATTTTTAATTCTAGATTTATAGCAATGTCTAGAATTAGCTATTCTATTAGTATTATCTTTAACTATTTCTACTAAAGTGAAATAGGCAGCAAAAGTTTTTGTAATATAGCTCT